AATGTTTGTATGTTTATTCTGTTCATATATCTAAAAATAAATTACTTTATTTTGGGAAATCTGACCAGGTCACAAGTTTTCATTTTTCACTTCATGATCAGAGTAATGTCTTATCATTTCTTGAGATTTCATAACTTAAAGATCTTTGCGTGGGACATGACTTTATGAGATTAAGCTGGTATTAATCTCATAGAGCAGGTTCTTACAATATTACAACAATAGAGCAATATTAAGATAATGATATAGTAAAACATCAAAATACAATCATATTAGTATTGTAAACACTGAACAATTGAGATTAAATATTATTGAAATATAGAGCAGTACCAAGTTGAGTCCAGCATGGGGCGGTATTGGACCATTACAAGGCCCCATTGACTCCCATTATATGAATTTTGGAATAAAGTTTAAACATTAATATTTCAAAAACTACAAGTTTTACAGGCACCAGAAGGCATAGCAATCATTTGGCACAGGACCTTTACAGATAGAAATTACAATGGCAGCTGTAGGACAAAGTATGCAGGAGGAGTAGCACGGCGACATGGAAGAAGACGGAATAAGTTGAAAAATAAAGAGAAACAGGAAAACAATAGTGTGCATTGCATTAGCAGTGCACACTGATGTGCACCCCAGCAAGCTCAATCAGGTATTATCACATTCTAAAAATGAAATGTTGGATTTACTTAACCATGTTATGTTACCTGGTTCCACTTAACTGATTTGAGTAAATTCAAAGCAACATACTCGTTCTTTGGCTAAAAAACTGTTATATTAATTAATTACAGTAAAGCCCCTGTGCCAAATGATGGCTATGCCTTTTGGTGCCTGTAAAACTTATAGTTTTTGAAATATTAATGTTTAATAAATTATTATGGCAGTCAATGGAGCCTTGAATTGGTCCAATACTGCCCCCTGCTGCATCTACACCATATGGTACTGCACCATAGTTTCATAATATTTAAACTCAGTAGTTCAGTGATCACAATATTAATATGATTGTATTTTGTTATTTTAATGTAATACTGTCTTTATGTTGTCCTATTGCTGTAATATATTGCACTTAAGTGTCAATAATTGCATTGGCAAGGTAAGCTTTTTCTGTATATATACAATCCAATCCCTGGGAATATCCTCTGCCACATCTTCTAAAGTCTCATGACGAGCACTGTGGGCTTTCATGTGGGAGATCAGGGTTCAAATCCAGCTACTRCWWCTTTAACAAAAATCTCTTCAAACTTCATATTGTCACACAATTACCTTAATTACAAACACCTGCTGACTTGACAGGCACAAGCTGGTATAGAAAACACATTTGAACTTGATCAAAGTTCATTCTGAAAGTCCAATGCTACTGCCTACATTGTCCTACGACTGCCATTGTAATTTCTGTCTGTAAAGGTCCTGTGCCAAATGATTGCTATGCCTTTTGGTACCTGTACAACTTGTAGTTTTTGAAATATTAATGTTGAAACTTTATTCCAAATTCATAAAATGCGAGTCTATGGGGCCTCGTAATGGTCCAATACTGCCCCCTGCTGTACACAATTTGGAACTGCAACATAGTTCAGTGATTACAATACTAATATGATTGTATTTTGATATTTTACTATCTCATTATCTTAATATTGCACTATTGTTGTAATATTATGCAGTTTAGTGCCAATAATTGTGTTGGCAATGTGGCCTCATTCTGCACACATAGAAAC